AAGGCTCCCACTGAGTTTGTATTTGCACCTTGGGTACCAGGCCACCAAGCCATGGAGCATGGCCATCAAGAGTCAAATAGATGAGGGGCACTTGGCTGGCTCAGTTGGTGGAGGGTGTAACTCTTAATCTCAGGGTTGTGAGTTTGAGCCCCATGTTAGGGGTAAAGATTACCAACAAAACAAAACTCAAATAGATGACGAGGCGCCTTGAGCATATCCATCAGAGAGCCACCAAGATGATAAAGGACTAAGAAGCAGGATGCTCTTACCTGGTTTTGGGGCCCCTTGACAACTCAGCTGTACCATCCCCTTAAGTTTTGCTGCCTTCTTACAGGGAGGGTCTTTATATCACACGGCGGGCTGCCCACCATATCTCGTGTCTCCTGTGCATTTGCTCACGTAGTTTCTCCACAGGGAGTTTTTTTCTTTCCCCCATCTAGGTACAGCCTGCATATATCCTTCAAGACCCAGTTCCTAAAATCTGTTTCCAAATTCTGTTTCTTCCATTCAGAATTCTTAGAGCATGTGACATAGCCCTCAGGTACTCAAAATGTGGTCCAGTTTGCTGCTGTTGACCCCCTTGTCCCTTCTCTCCAGCTCAATTGTAAGCTCCTGGAGGGCAGGAGTAGTGTCTCACCTGTATTTGTTTTTCCCATAGGGCCCAGCGCAGTGACTGGCATTTGGCAGTACTTGCGGGGAACAACAAGTATTTGCTGATGGATGTCCAGGAAAAATGGACTTAGACTGATGTGGATAGAACTGTTAGATTACTAAGATGAAGTATGCATGGGTGGGCTTTCTGGGGGTGAGGGTTTAACCCAGAAGACTTGTGAAATCCCCTTCCGTGACTGGCAGGCTTTTCGAAGAGGAGAGACCCTGCCCCAGTCTCTCTAGAGAGGGTTAGATGCAGCAGGGCATAAAGGCCCAACTCTGAGCAGAGGCTAGAGCAGAGCGATGCCTTCCAAGACACAGGACTGGCCTCACCTCCGGCCCCTCAGAACAGAGCACACACACTTCCTGCTGTTGGCCCGTGAGGATGCCTTGTGGGCTAGGGACTGCGGGGGGTGGCAGCGGCTGGCTCGTAAAGGGGCGCAGACAAAATCACAGTGGTTAAGGGGACCATGAGGGCGGAGAAGACCTTACCTGGCAGAAGCAGCTCAGGCCCCAGGGCCCTTTGCTGATCTCTCCCACCAGCGGATCAGCAGCCCGTGCGACTCGGCCTCCATCAGAGAGAGGGAGAAGAATGGCCTGGCTCTCAGGGAAGACCCCACCTTCCAAGTCTGGGGGGAGCGTGGCTTCAGCTTCCGTCTGTTCTGAGCTCTCGTCCCTGTAGGCGTCTGGAGGGAACGCACAGATGGGTTGGGCTGATGGGGCTGGCTGAGTGAGGAGGAGGGAGGCTTGTGGTGTGTGTGGCACCCCTCACAGGGGAGGCCCTGCCACCACCATCTTCAGTATGCATATTGGAAGCTTCAGACACAAGAAAGGCACTGGGCCTTTTTCCTCATCTTTCCCTTGGGCTACATTTGACCAAGCCCTCTTCCTGGGGCGCCTGGCCGGCTCAGTCAGTACAGCACACTAGTCTTGATCTCAGGGTGGAGAGTTGGAGGCCCACTGTGGGCGTAGGGTTCACTTAAAAAACCAGAGCCCTCCTCCCTTGGCAGAACAACCGCATGTTTGATTCTGGTTCTTCCGCTGCCTCCGTGGCAGCTGCATCTCCACCTGCCTCATCTGCTTATCCCCAGGACCCTCTCTCTGGTCTCTCTTCTTTCTCTGCAACTTCAAGACTTTGTTTTAAGTTATTTCCTTTTTGAACAGGTAATATATACCATAGTTAAACATTCAAACAAGAAAAAGGGCATCCAGTGAAAAATAAACCTCCCACACCGGTCCTCCACCCACCCAGTTTCCCCATCCCAACAGCAGTCAGTACCATCCTGGGTTGTAATTTGTTGGGTCACAGACCCCTTTGGCAATCTGGTAAAATCTGTGAACCCTATTCTCACATGCACGATGGCACAAACATCAAATTGTCCCACTTCACAAACATCACAGACCTGTAGGGCCCGTGTGTGGTGTGAAGCTAAGGATCCCAGCCTGTATTGTATCCTCTCCCTTAGTGCCTCCTTTAGCATAATTTGTGGGTCCTGGTGCAAAATAAAAATGCAGGGCTTGGGGAGCTTGGGGTGGCTCAGTTGGTTAAGCATCTGCCTTCAGCTCAGGTCACGACCCCAGGGTCCTGGGATCGAGCCCCGCATCGGGCTCCCTGTTCAGTGGAGAGCCTGCTTCTCCCTCTTCCTCTGCTGCTCTTCCTGCTTGTGCTCTCTCTCTCTGTCAAATAAATACATAAAATATTTTAAAATTAAAGATGCAGGACTCCTTGTTCAAAGATGTTCAAGACCGCGACGGCAGTGCATCAGACCGAGCACGGGGTGCTGTGTGACGCAGCTCATCCTTTCCTCTGGCTCCTCTATTACCATCTTTACGGGGATTAGTCTCATAGCTGTGTCTCTCACCCTAACTTGTTCTGAATTTCAGACCCAGCTGTTCAGGGAGCTGCTGAAACTCCATATGGATGTTCTTCTACCATCTCAAATTCAAGGGTCTCCAAAATGGAGCCAGTTACCCACTTCCTCCTCGGCCCCCTAACGAACACCCAGTTCCTCACCATCCTCCTACCACCTGCGACTCCTGCCTGCACCCAGCCACTCAGTTGCCAAGTTCCACCAATTCTGACTCACACCCCTGGTGCCTCTCCCTGCCACCGCTGTCTCCCTTGGGATGGCCCTTCATTACCCTCCGTATGTATTACTGTTAGTCGCCCCCTCAACTTAGCTCCTCAGGCCTTGCCTCTGCTGCTCCAATCCATGCACACCTCTTCCAGCCTCCTCTTCCCAAGGACCGTCCTGATTGTGTCACTTTCATACTCAAGGACCTTTGGTGACTCACTGTTTGCAGGCTTGGGCACAAACTCCTTTGCTTGCCATTTAAGGTACTTAAAAGTAGGGTTCCAAACCTTCTTCTCCATGCTCATCTACCCCTCCTCTTAATGTCCCTGAGATTTCAACCCAATGGTAGAACCATCTGTCCTTCAATGGGCCGAGTGTGCTTTTCTGCATGTTACATTAGGAAGTGCCTCTGTTCATGGTCCCCAGAGTTTAGCCCTGGCTATTCCCTCATAGCCACATAATCTCTGACCCATTCACCACAGCCACTGCCCATGGCCCTGCCCATCGTGTCCCCTACATTCCTGCTAGCAACCTTCTTCCTCTTCTCCTTATTAGAAGGGGAACCTTGGATACAAACCTGGATAAAATCATTAAGTATCAAGCAGGTATGAGTGGGATCCCTGCTCTCTCGCTTCCTGACCTCAAGCAAGTTAAACTGTTTCTTCTACAATAAAAAGCTCAGTAACACCTTATGTAGTCATTAGAGAACTAACAGAAAGCGAATAAAGTCCTAAGGATAATGTCACTATTCATATTATTGTCTCATAACCACCCATGTGGAGCTGGTTGCCCTTGGCTCCTTCCCAGCTGCAGGGATCAGGAGACATCTCATCCCTCTTTCCATCAAGTTCTGGGAACCTGGGTGGGGTGGAGTGGAGGCCTGGCCCTCAGGTGCTCAAGTAGCTGTGCTGTAGTCTGGGGTGAGGGGAGCTGCTGCCTCTGCTCTCTTTGTTCAGATTCGTGGCTCAGGCAGCAGTAGGCGTGGGTGTCCCCAGGGGGAGGCACTGACAGCTTCAGTTCTCACACGGGCTTTGCAGGTGACAGTTGGGGTGGTGGGGGCCTGCCAAGGGAGGTGCGGGCCATCTTCACCATGCCCTAGCTGATGGGCCTTCCTGGTAAATACGGGCCCCACCTGAAACCAGCCCCACCTGAAACCAGCTGGGGGTAGCTCTGGGTGCTAAATGTAGCCTCCAGCTTACTCTGCAGCATAAGGTGAGGTAAGGTGTTGAGGTTTAGAGTCTGTGGATTTGGTCCCGTTGTGTCAGTAAGTTACTAAAACTTCTAGCCATTCTTTGCCCCTCTCCAGGGTTGTTTGCTCATCTGCAAAGGGATGAGTTGGACCCTGTTATCTCTAAGGGCCTGTGGCTCCTTATCACGGACTACACCAGGACTAAGTCAGTTCTGGAGCCGCCGTGGAGATTTAGGTTCCTTGCTCCTCTGGGCCTAAGCTTTGTCTGTAACTGTTTCCATCTACAACTATCCCTTCTGTGGGGCTTTTGAGAACAGAGTCAAAATGAGCAAATGTAGAAAAGTTCTTTATTGAAAAGGGAAGGGTGGCTCCCTTGCTGGGGCCTCCTGGGCCCTGGCCAAAAGGGGCGGTACCACCTGCTCAGCTCTTCACAATGGCATCTGAAGGCAAAAGTCTGTCCAAACCTTACCTTTAATAACCTTAAAAGGGAAGTGCCGCGGTGTGGTGGTGAATCACAGAATCAATTCTGAAAAACAGCACTTCCAGGCCCTTGCCTTTAAGAACTTCTTAAAGGCAAAGTGGACAAGTGCAGCAACTAAGAGCCAGCACGTTTTAGGAAAAGTCTCAAAGAAGCGTCTCCGTGTCTTTACCTTTAAGGATTTCTTAAAGGTGAGGCGTATCGGCGCAGAGTACAAAGGTGAACTGGAAAGGGGTCTAAAAGCACTTTTCCAGTTCTCGCTTTTAGGATCTCTTTACAGGAGAGGTGGTCAAGCGTGACTTAATAAAAGTCAAAATGGTTCGCGGAACTATAGCCCGTCCTGCCCTCCAGAAGCCGCCTGGTCCTCCGGCCGCAGCGCGCCCGCCCGCAGGTCTGCGTCCTCGCCTTCTAGGCGCTCAGGGGCCGGGAGGTAGCCAGGGCACGCGCGGTGGCGGGGCTGGGGGCGACGCGCGCCGGCGGCTGCGCGCCCTGGGCGTTTTTGGTTTCCTAGACGGTCTGCGCAGAGCGGACGGGGGCGGGGCGGGGCGAAGGGGCGAGCGGAGGGCGCGGTGACCATGGCGACCGCGGTGACCATGGCGACCGCGGCTCAGAGCACGGAGAGGTCGTGACACGACCTGGAGCGCTGCTTGAAGAACTTGGCGTTGCGCGGCACCAGGTTGGCCAGGAAGCGCTTGGCCTTCTTGGTGAGGCTCTCGCGGCGCGCGGGCGGCGGGGGGCCGTCGGGGCAGCCCCACTCGGGCCGCGGGCCCCCGGCGCGGCTCCGGCCCTGCCGCAGCCGGATCTGGCGCACCGCGCCCTCGAAGAGCTCCTGCGTGTTGTGGTGCAGCGCGGCCGACGTCTCGATGTGCTTGCAGCTCAGGGTCCCTGCCAGGTGGCGGCCCTCTGCGGGAAGGGACCGGGTTGAGGCGCCCGCGGGCGGCACTGGGCCCGGGGCGGGGGGTGGGGTGGTGCCCCGGGTGCAGCAGAAAGGGGTCGCGGCCGGTGAATCTCAACGGAGAACAAGGCAGGGATCACGTAGAGGGCGGTGGTACTGCCAAGGGGAGGAGAGAAGGGGGCCTTGGAGAAGAGGTGAGGCATGAAGAGAAGGGGTTCTCGGGCCCTAAGCATGGGCATTGAGAGTCTGCCCTTAGCCTGCTAAAGGCTAAAGGCAGTTGTTTGTGCACCGGGAGGGTAAAAGGGCCCTGTGGAGAGGAGGCGACCTGGAAGGGAGAGGGTCCCCTGAGATTGCAGGTATGATGAGGTACAGGATACGCACCCTCCAGTGAGACCTCCCGGGAGCGGGCCAGGTCGCTCTTGTTTCCAACGAGGATGACAGGGAGGTCGTGGTGGGGCCTCCCAGCCCGCAGCCTAAGTAGGGTCTCTGGAACTTTGGAGAAGCTTCGTCGGTCGGTGACTGAGAAGACGATGAGAAAGGCATCCCCGATCTGAAGGCAGTGGTCCCGCAGCCACCCCCCTGCGTCCCCCTGCATATGGGCAGAGAGTGATGGAATGTCAGGGCTGGAGGCGTGGGAGCACCCGCCCAGCACCTGCATCTCAAGGATGAGGCATCTGGATGTGAGGGAGAAGCCACCTGCCTAGGACTGCAGAGCTAGTTAATGGCAGAATCTCCATACCCTGGAGTGTGCTTGTGGAGGAGCAGGTGGTTTATAATGTGAGTCCCACATGGGAGAATTGGGGACACAGGTTCCTAGATTGGGGTAGCCCATCCTACTTTCTTATCCTTAAGTGCTCATTGTAAAAGTGAATGCTCTTCGATTGTATGTAATCTGGCCTCTCATTTCTATGTAGTAACGATTTATGTTCAGATATTCACAGATCCTCACTTCTTCCCCTTCCCTGATATTCCAGGCCCTGAGCTCTTGTCCTGTCAGATCAGACTCTTCCAGACTGGAAAATGTATGGATGGGATTGATTTCAGGGTATTCAGCCTGGCTCACAGCTGCAGGGTTTGTCAAATTCAGATCCTAACTTCCCTCTGGGTCAGAAGATCCTGGAAAGAAAGCGACACTCAGTGCCATGGCATGCACATTGATGTGGGCCTTTGCTCTCGGAGAGGATACGTGTGAAAGGTCAGGTTCTAGTACATACTGGAACCAGGGCCTACAGTGCCACCAGCCTTCAGCCAGACTCTGCCCCTCCCCAGCTCTCCTAGGTTCTTACCTGTTCCCAGATGTCATAAACAACTAGAGTCACTTCCTCCTTATCCACCATGATGCGTCTTTCATAGGTGTCCTCTGTTGGGAAATAAGGACAGGGAATAGAGCCCATTAGGAGGCTCCCCAACACTTGTGAGACCTGGTAACCAGGGACACCCCCTCCAGGGAGGTTGCCACAGAAAGCACTGGAGCAGTTTCTCTTAGGTTCTGGCCTCCAGGGGCCACTCATGCTTTGAGCTCTTCCATCCCTGACTAGGGCTCCACAGGTGCCCTTGACCCTTACAGGGCTCCCCCAAATACCTGGGTTCTCCGGCTCATGAGCACTGTCTCCCTGGAGACCACCGAAAGTGCCTGCTAGGGTGCTCTTGCCCACGCCGCTCTCCCCTACCAGCATGACTTTGAAGATGCCATCCTTTTGGGTGGGGCCTGCCTCCCCTGAGCCCAAGGAGTCCGAGGAACCAGAGGATGAGGCTTGAGGTGGCCAGTCAAGTTCATCTATGGCCTGGGCGCGCCGCAGCTGGTGCTTGTAGGGGACAGGCATACTGCCTCTTCGTCTGGGGGCCCCTGGGGCAGGGGGTGGCCCACCCCGGTCCAACCCTGCCAACAGCTTCTCTGGCTGCTTCAGCAGTGAGGCATCTGTTTCTGGGGGGGCAAAGAGAAGGAAGCTATGAGTGGGGGTATGCCTAGCCATCTGCAGAGGGCTCAATCCTGCCTGCTCTGGCCTCAGAGCCCCAGTGGATGACCATGACCCAGAAGGAGCTGAGAATATTTGGTCTGACCTCTGACACTGAACTCCCCCAGAAGCCTGAACTGGTAGGTCTCAAAGGAGCCGACTGAAGGCTTACCTAATGTGGTTCCAGCCACAGCCTGTTCAAAACATGCCCCATGCAGGGGAGGCACGTGTGCACAGGCTTGCACACCCACTCAGGCCTCACACTGACACACAGGCACACCCCCAGACTAGGCCTCTGGCCTGGGGGGGGGGCTGCCCCTCCTTCCACCAAGAGGCCCTGTCTTCTACTGCTTCTCGAACTGGTAGTCCCCCCAAATGGGGAGGTGTGAAGGGGATGAGAAGCTGCCGCTGCTGCCCAGGTTCTGGGGGGTGGGTAGTGGTAGAGTCAAAAACTTCGTGGGGAGCCTCTTCCCCGGGAAGGGCCTTTGCTCCTTATGATGTGTGCGTTGGGCCCCCCACGGCCGTGTGTGAGAAGAGCTGCCTCTTCTCATGGCCCAGTAGGTAGGTGATCATCCCCCAGGGCATGGTTGTGTGTGAGAATCTTTCTGCATCTCTGGCAGTCCCTGGAGTCCCAGAGAATCTTCTGTGAGGTAGAGGGAGGGAGGGAGTGGGGGAGAGAGCGGAGAGCGGAGAGCGGGAGCGGGAGCGGGAGCGAGAGTGACAATGCATGGGTCGGGGTAACTGGAGGAAGAACGACAGACACAACAAAGCGGGATGGCGAGAGGCTGGAAATAGCCTAGGATCAATACTTGGCTGGCAGCCAGGGCCTCAAGAGCCAGCGAAACCCTTCCAACAGGTCCCCAGGGCAGCCCCCAGCCCGTGATTCCCAGGCTGGTGGGCTGCCCCTTCCCTTTCCCCCATCCCTCCTGCCCATCCCAGCCTCTTGGGAATGAGGCTGACCTAGGGGCTGAGCACCAGTTTTCCCAGCGAAGCCCTGGGAGTGATGGGGGGAGGGGGCGTTTGGGCAGCACCCCCGCGGCTCCCAGCCCAGCCCAGCCTCAGTCCTGGTGTGAGCGTGAGGCTTCCCCACTTCCTGAGTTGCTCTTCCCCTTTGCTGTTTGGGTTCAAGCTCCGTCAACCCTCAGTTCTGACCTCCCCACCAGAGCTTCAGCTCCCACCCCCATGGTTTCAGCTGGAACCTGCCCAGCTCAGCCCTCACCTGGTGTGGGCGTCCCTGGGGGGGAGGCCCGGTGGCTGCCGGAGGGGCAGAGTGCTGTGGTTTCTGTGTCCGTGTCCATGTCGGTGTCGAGGTCCGTGTGCATCGGTGTGCGTGCGTGTGTGTGTGTGTGCGCGTGTGCAGCCCCGCGGCTTGCAGTACCCACTCCCTCACTCAGCAGCACTGTCAGCTTTTCCCTTAAATACCACCCCCATGCCCCCCCCCCCCCACACCTGGGGAAATTGTCCCGCCCCCTGATGAGGTCACACATGCTAATGAGCAGTGATGTCAGCGGGATTCCCTCCTTTCTGCCTCCCCCTTCCTTTGTGTCGCTTCCCACTGGGAGCACACACACTGCGGAGTCTGGTTAAGACCCGACCAGAACGAAGTCAGAGGGGCAAAAGAGACAGGGGTTCAGAGAAACGGGGTGAGGGCTCAGCAGGTAAGGGAGCTGAGGATGGCAGGAGGCAAGGACCCAGGCACTGGGAGGTCTTTCTCCAGGAGCGGGGACTGTGCGTCATTTGTCTGTGGACTCCCCGCCTCTGAGCCCAGTGTCCATCCAGCTCAGAGTGGGTGCTCAGTGGCTACATGGAGGGTCTAGAGGCAGAAACCAAGAGATTCAGGGTCACACTGGCACCAAGCTTCCCCATCACCCTCTCCTTCTCCATACCACCCCTTCTGGGCTAAAAGACCCATCACGGTAGCCATTTCCCAACTTGGCCCCTAGGCAGATGGGGGCTCTGAAGAAGGAGCGAAGGCTGCCTGGTTCGGGCAGCTTCATTTTGTCACTAGGTTCAGGCGGGTGCAAACCATGTGGGGACTGCCTCCCCTTCTCTCGCGCCCTGCCAGGCCCACCAATCTAGTGCTAGGGGAGATTGAGCTAAGCCCTCTAGAAGTTCCCTATCCCCGCTCTCCTGCTCGCTGGGGCACCACCAGCTCTCCAGGGCTACACAAGGATGTCTACCCCTTTGTGGGAAGCCAGGATGGCTTTACTGCTCCTTTTCTGCCCGGGTCCCTTTCTCTTCAGGCTCCAGCTCTTCTCTTTTCTTCCTGACGCTGCAAGCACCCAAACAGACCTTTCAGTTTCCTGGCTCGTTCTCACCCTGCGTTTGTTGCCAGGTGCTGCGCTAAGCACCTTCCTTTCTCTCCTGTCATCCTCCTGACCCAAAGGCTCAGAGTGGTAGGTGGCTGGCCTGTCCCCAGATCGATCGTGCAGTTGGAAAATGGGGACACCAGGATTCCCACCCTGATTTTTCCAATACCCAAGACTGTTTTTCATCTGCGATGCTGCCTTCTTTGTCTTAAATATTCCAACTGTCTCCTATTATTGGGAACGGTCTGTATGGTAATCTTCAGTGGACTCCTCCAATGGAAGAGACGAAGAGTAATCTTGGACTGATGTGCACTGACCACTTAGCTGGAGGTGAACTGCAGGGCCACGTTTGGGGTCTAGGGGAAACAGAAAGGACTCCTGAGCAACCACCATACTTACGCACTTTACTCAGTGGATAGACTCTCCAGTCCTCAGTCACAGCCCACTTGGCCTTCCTTATTCACAATTTCAGTATGTCCCTGTGTGTTCCCATACTCAACATTTGGAGTAGCAAGGGACCCCTGAAAGCCTGGTAGCAAGGGAAATAACGCTACAAAAAACTTTGAAAGCAGTCAGAAACATTTAAAAAGTGGTCGGAGGGCACTGGGCAGACAGGCAAACAGCTTCCCTGACACCATTACAGCCTCTAAAGATTGCTATAGAGAGGCCGCTGGTTTCTGTGAGTGATCCTCAGCTCTCCAGAAAAATGTATATTCTATTGCAGATGTGCTGAAGAGGAAAATGTTTAGAATGATTTCCTTCCACAATGAGTTTTAAAAGTTTTTAATTGTAAAGGGGTGAGCTTCACGTACCTGGAAAACTCACTTAGGTGGCTGGATTCATTTCTGGGATACTAGATGAGAGTGAGTGAGTCAGGGCACAGCCCACCCCAGCAGGACTCAGCCAGCCTTGGGTCCTAGGAGCAGGCTGGGTTACACCCTGAACCACTGTCTCTCTTGTCCCACTAGTACGAGGTTGTGCACTGGCCCCTGTCCCAGCTTCCTCAGGAATGGGAGGTCCTGTGGAATGGTGGGGCAAAGGTGAGATTTGGAACTGAACCAACCCAGGTTTAACTCTGCATCTCCATTGAGGCTGGGCTAGTCTCATCACTCCTCTGGGACTGCTCCTGAACCTGTGAATTGGGTTGATGATGCTCATTGCACAGCCTTGTTATGAGGGTTCACTATGCCTAAAAAAGGATCTGGCACTGGGCAGGTTACCCAACTCTCTTGTGCTCCCACAACCTCAGGCAGTGTGGCTGGAGGTCCCTCTCCCCTCCCAGCAGGGCCTGGAGTTTGCTTCAGATCGATTCTCAAGGACTGAATTCTGGTCTGTCCTGTTATCTCAGATTCCCGGGCTGATCTCCATCTCATGCTGAGAACACCTCCCTCCTCCACAGCCAGAGCCTTGGCAAGAGTCCTACACCCTGATACTGGGCACTTTGGATGACGGTGTCTCTGTCCTGATAGGATGTGAGGTGGTCCCGTTTCTTTTTCCTTAGGCCACGGTTCAAGTAAACTTGGGTGACTGCTCCCCAAGGCTCCACCTCTCCTGGGTGGGACCCTCTTAGTTTCGCCATGTTGCCTGCACAAGGCTGATCCCCTCTCTCCACCAACCTGGGGCTTCACCGTGCTTGACACAAGTAGTGTTACCCCTTGCACCTTCTAGAGCATACACCCAGCATCTAGAGAAACTTCTTTGAGGCTCAGGGATCCACACACACAGCCCTTTCCGGTGAACTCTACCCTCAGGTCGTCCCCCTCTGGCTTTTGAAGCATTCCACCCTGAGGAGCATTCTTTTACCTTCCATCTTTGTCCACATTCAAGTTACAAATACCACCAGGAAGTAAAAGGTCTGGAGCAGGACAAGGGATGAAGCTATTGGCTGAAGGTTTTTTTGGGGGGTGGCTATGAAGAAGAGAGGAGCAAGGGAGAGGCATAGACCACTGATGGGGAGGTGTGGGAGGGAAATCAGCACTCCCTGCTTCCCTGGGCCTGACACTGGGGGAACTCAGGGACTGTTAGCACTTGGGAAGGCCCGAAGGGGTTAGAGAACACAAGGTTGGGGATTTCTGACGGCCCTTTCCCAATCTCCGGAGAGGGTCTGGAGTGAAAGGAATCTGGCTCTTTCCCAAGTCAAGATCCCATGATCCCACGACTGTACCACATTTACCCTCTGCCACTTCCCTAGTCTCTTGCTCCCTGGGAGGAGGAAACATGCAGTTGGTGCTAGGTGTGAGGATGCTAACAGGCTGTGATCAACAGGGCCCCTCCACCAGGGAGTGGGAAGAGGGCAGGCCTGCCGGGAAGGGTGAGGGTCCGCCTGACGGGGGTCTGCTTCTGTTGGGGAATGCCTCACTTCCGCTCGTAGGGCACCATGCACACCCCCATAGACTCCGACTGTATCCTTTGTCCCAGTTTTCATTTCAAACTCTGGGACAGCTCCTGTCACTTCACTCATCAGAGGCTGGGCTCCAACATTTCTCACAGATTGTTCCCTCCTCCACCACCTTCTCCAGCTCTTCAACTCCGGCCACTGCTTACACTCCTGCCCCATTTCTCAGGTCTGGGGTCCAGCCTCCAGCCCTAGCCCTCACAGCAGCTTAGTTTGCTTATCCTGTGGATGCTCACCCTTCCTAGAATCCACAACTCTATTCCAACTACTGACAACATTCTTTAAAGTCTAGTTTGAGCCCTCTTCTAGGAAGACCCTTTGGATTTGGTCAAAGTGATGCCAGCATCTTCAACCCCGAATGTTCCTGATTTTTCTCTCAATTTATCTTTGTCTGCTCTGAGGCATCCTGGCTGAGAGTTCATCTGTCTTGCCTAAGCCAGACTCTAAGTGCTTGGTGGGGGTGGAAGGTGGAGGCCAGGAGTTATGGCTCCTATGTTCCACTAGGGACATTCTGCTTCTGTGATCTGTGCTCTGGGAGTACTCCATAAATGGGAACCTTCCCAGCTACAGGGCCCAGCTGGCTCACCAGACTTCTGGCCTGGCGGTGAGTGAAGAGGCTTGGTGCTTACCGCTGGTGTCACTGTAGAGCTGAGCCCCAGCGGGGCAGGTGGGTGGGGCTGGTGGAGAGAACTGGTCCTTAGGGTTCTTGGAACTTTCTTACCGTCTGAGCGGTATAAAAACCAAGGGTGTGTGGTTAGTAGGAAGAAGGCAGGAGTGGGAGGCCAGACCAGAGGCCTTGGTAGGGAGGAGCACCATGAGGCGAATATCAGCTGAGACGGGTAGAGACAGGGCTCCGGTCATAGCTCATTTACAAAAATCTGAAATTTCTTGTTCTTTTATTTTCAACCTTGACTTGCTGGGCAATGACCTAGCTATGGGACAAAAGCATTTTTTGTGCTCTTTTTATGAGCCACGCCCCGTAGGAAGGATCACAGTTGGCAAAACCTCAGGCTCTGCCCAAATCCTTCCCCTGGGGGCTGGAGGTCTCCAGCCAATTGACATTCTGGTGCTTAAAGGCCATTTTTGGGGAGGGGTTTGGTAAGGATGGAGTGTCCAGGCCCCTGACCCTTTAAGAAACTTACTTTTTAAAAACAGCCACATGAGTGGTGGTGGTGTGGGGAGACGGTGGCGGTAGAGAGACTGTGGTCTCTGGGCATGTGCGGAGGGAACTCTGTGTGAGCCCTTTCCCCGCCTGAGGGAACCTAATTTTACAGCAGCTACACAGGGTCAACAGGAGGCTCACCAAGGCCCCTCAGACGGAGGGCCAGGGAGGGAAGTGGGGGACGGGAAGCTGAGCTGCCCTCTAAAGGGTTGTCGTCACTGTGACCGGAGCCCCCGAGGGCACCAGGTCACCTCAGGCAAGCAGTGGCTCATCCTCCGCTTCCACCACCCAGACCCCTGGCTCAGCCAGTGGCAACAGAAGCACATCATCTTCGTCCTCTGGAGACAGGGCTGTGGTATGGGGTTCAGGTGGGGTCCGAGTTGGTCCTGGGGGCCGAAGGCTAGGCAGGAGGCGGCCTCGCAGGGCCTGCACCACTCCAGACAACAGTGAGGGCTCTAGGGGCACGGAGGGCAGTGGCCCCGGGGCCTCGGAGACAGTAGCGGGGGCCGGAGACGCACTGGTGGATGGAAGGGGAG